AATCCCTAGAATCTAAGAAATCACAGAGGGGAAAAATCTAGGAAATCACAGAGAATCCCACAGAAGCTAGAAAGAGAATCTCTAGACTCAAGGAAATCACAGAGGGGGTGATCACCATGTCAGACAGACCTATACATTATACAGGCATAGGGGGAATCAATCCACAAGGAACTGGGCTAAAAAAAAACAGCCATTGGAAACCAGGAGAATAGAGCAGAGATATCAACAGCTGCATACCACAATGAAAGCAATATTGGCAGCTTGAATTCAGACAAGTTAATTGTGAAACAGAACAAACAAATCAATAATTCTCAGAAGAAAATAATGGACTCCAGATCACTATATTATATTAAATATAATGTCTACTTTTCAATTAAAAATTCTAGGCATTCAAAGAAACTGGTAGAAAAAGCAGGGGGAAAGGTAGTCATAGTAAGGAACTCTTGAGCATACCCAGATGTTCAATTTAGCAAAGACTTTAAAGCATTGTCTCTTTTTTGTTGCTGTGGTAATTATATTGATTGATGTTTGAATGTTAAATCTAACTTCCATTCCTGAAATAAGTTGCACCTGATCATAAAAACTTTACATAACTTTTTCTAGTTTTTCATGTAAACTATCTATATTTTTAAAATTGGGTTTCATATAAGATCACACTTCCTTGACAAATCATTCTGAGAAGACAAAAGCCACTGAGATCAGTGGTCTTTCTTCTGTTATATGGAATTTAAAAATCAAGAGTTTTGTACTAAAACATAAACTCCGTAAATACAGAGATTTTTATGTGTTGCTTTTGTATCTAATGACTAGAACAGAATCTGACATAGACTAGGTGCTCAATAAATATTTATTGAATTAATGAATGACTGAAAAATATACTGAAATTCGCAGTTGACTTCATGGAAAGGTAATTGCAGATGTCTTCCATCCATGATGAGACAATCAAGGGACTGATTGTGTGAAACTGGTTATTAATCTTGTTCTGTATTCATGTTTATTTTAAAATTTCTTCATAGAAGTTCAATAAATGTAAGTAGCAAAATAAATTCATCAGCACTAGCTAAATATTGGTATATGCTGTGAATTTAAAACTATACAGGAAGAGTACAATTAATAATTTGGGATTTAAAAACATTTCTAGGGCAGAATTTCAATTAAAATAATAGGTGCTTATATATTTTAAAAAATTTTTAAAAAACATTTGACTATGTGGTCTTTAATCCTCCACTGGCTTATTCATTAAGCAGAGATGCCAGTTTATGAACTGAAAGAAAAACAAAGTCACCACAGTTATTTTTTTTAATTTTTATTAAAATATATTGGTTGCACATATTTATGGGGTACAGAATTATATTTCAATACATGTATACAATGTGTAATAATCAAATCAGGGTAATTAGCATATTCATAATTGCAAAACTTAATCATTTCTTTGTGATCTGGACATATGATCTCCTCTCCTCTAGCCTTTTGATAAAATGCAGTAAATTATTGTTAATTATCAATGCCTCGCTCTAGTGTACACCAGTAGAACTTATTTTTCCTAGCTGGCTGTAATTTTGTCTGTTAACCAACTTCTCCCAATCTAGATACAAAAAATTTGTTACTTTCAGTATGATATACTAGCACACCAATATTTCTGCTGAAAACATCTAGAAGCAATTACAAAAATCAGAAAAGCATAATCAAAATATTTGTCTTGATTTCTGTTCAAATTACAAAATCAGAAAAGCATAATCAAAATATTTGTCTTGATTTCTGTTCTTATTTAGTATTGTATGTGTTTTTAAAAGGGAAATTCCCTTATGAAGTTAACAAATTATTTAGATAAGTGTTAGCATAAATTATAGAACAAGTTTCCAGAATTTTTTACTTAGAGCTCTAGGAAAGAAATCAGAGGTTCCCTTTTTAAAAGCATACCTTTTAAAAGTTATTATTATTTTAAATTGTATTTTGTTTTTAATTGACAAATAATAATTGTTTATATTTATGGGGTACAGTGTGATGTTATGATACATGTATACATTGTGGAATGATTAAATAAAGCTAATTAACATATGTAAGGGTTCGTGGAAAGATTCGTCTTTTAATTCTATTTTTCAACGATCTTTTTGAAGTACCCTTGCACCTCACCTCACATACTTATCATTACTTTGTAATGAGAACATTTAAAATCTACTCTTAGCAATTTTGATACATTATTATTAACTATAGTTACCATGCTGTGCAGTAGATCACTAGAACTTACTCCTCCTGTCTAACTGAACTTCGTACACTTTCACTAAAATCTTTCCTTTCCCCATCCACTCTCCCCGACTCCAGGTATCTGATAACCACTATTCTACTCTTTACATCTACAGGTTAGACTTTTGGGGATTCCACATACAAGTGAGCTCATGCAGTATTTGCCTTTCTGTGCCTGGCTTACTTTAAGCAAATCATACATTGATTATTTAGAAATTCTCTTTAATATGTTCAGCATACAGTATGTTATTAGCCACTAGAGGGTGGTGGTGTTTCAGACCAACACATTTTAGACTATTTCTGTAGTAACTGACCTAAAAGTGCCAACTAGAATCCAGCTGCCAGCTTTATATTATGTAACTCCTCAGATCCTCGAAGTCACTTGTTTACAGGGTGAATAGCTACAAAGCAAACAACTTAGAATAGAATGAAGCAAAATGCTGAAAGAACAGAAGTGTTACACAAAAGATATGAAATACAAAACATTTAGTACATTGATGTAGAGGTGTGTAAAAGAGGCTAATGTTAATTCTTTTCTCATACATGTCCTGATGTTTGTCATTTCTATGAAGTCCAATTAGCCCCATCATGCACTACAATGGGAGAAGTAAAAATTTCAAGGAATTGGTAAAGGTCCACAAAAAAATCAACTACATTCTAAAAAATAAATAAGTAATAAGAAAATAAATAAAAATAAAATATTTGTAAATAAAAATAAGAATAATTTTTGATATAACTGGACAGAGATCAGCTTTGCTGTCTTTACTGTATGAATAAAAAAATGGTCTTAACATTTTAAATATATAATTACATTAGAATTTTATTAATTGCTGAAAAATTATATTTGATATCTACTTTCATCCAAATATTTTGGATTTAAGCTTATATCTAAGAATAACACCAAATACTGTTTTACTTTTTAAATGACATTATTATAGAAAAACACTTTTTCAAATATGGGTTTAAGATTAAAGTAATATGACAAAAGTTTGGGGAAGATTTAAAAAGCAAACCACATGACAATTCCTTCATAGCTGCTGTTGTCACTGTAAACACGATATTTTAATAAATAACACTCGAAAGTACAAAAGATTTTTAAATGATATCAGAACACAAATTAAAGTGACATTAGTGTTGTGATTAATTCATGATGTTAAAATGGAGTTTAAATTATATTTTTGTTTTTCCTTCTTTAACCACTATATGAGTTTAACCCTAAAATGATTTTTTTCAGTCTCTCATACAGTATCAGAACAATAGCACAGAAAGAAAGAATGCGGAGGGACATATCCCATTCTCATCTCTTTAACACTCATTTACACTCAAACATCAGAACATCAGCTCAGTTAAGTCAGCAAAAAACTGACCAGACTTATTCTGAAAGTCAGTAATTCATAATGCTATAATGATTACATCTAATTTCCTAAATATGAGGAAAGGTGAAGTTTGTACATAATTTTAAAAATCTTTTCATTTCCTTGACAATGTAAATAGGCAGAAAAACCAGGCCCTCCCAAGATTTCGGAAAAACTGGTCTTGCTGTTAATTTTCATCTGCTGTGAGCAGTTATGATACACATGTAAAGAACATTGTGCTTCGAATAAGACGACAGGACTGTAAATTGCTGAGAGATCTTGAGCACATCCTTTATCTTCATGGAGGCTCAGTTAATTCAAAAGGGGAGTAATAATAGTAATAGCACCTTGGAGGATCTTTGAGATAAGAAAATGCTTGGGAAAATACATAACACACTGTAAAAATACATAAAATATTGGCTTACTAAAAGATGTTACTAGGCAATTATGCCTATTTTCACTGGGTGTGTATTATTTCAAAAGCAAATTTCCCACCTAGATTGAGGCCTTCATACCATCTAAATACAGTTTCTAGTTCTAATTGTATGAGGATGAGCAAAGGGCAGAGAAGGATAGTTGGAAGTTTCATAAAAGAGAACGCCTCTCTTCCCTGCCGTCCTCTCACTTCCATAGGCTAGCAGCAGTTGATTCACTACCTCACATATGCAAGTGGCTGACACCTGTCTCTAGCCATCTTTGCCCTATCTGACTTTTGGGGGGAGTAGGGGCAGAATTAGGTGAGGGGTTGCAGTTGAGATTTCTTTGTCTTTGAATTTGGTCATCCAAGTTTTTATTTCCCTGTGGCTATTTTCTTAAATCTCCAGGCACTGTCTATTCATTTTATGGTTTCAGTGGTGTGCCGGGGGCAGCAGGAAGGCTTGTCCTTTCCACGATCATTCTAGACTCTCAAAGTAGGAAGGAAAAAAAGTTCACGCTTAGCTATGCAAAGGAATGTGGCTCGAATAGATTGCTTTAAGGACAGGTGATTTACACCTGCCAGAGTCACAAAAGTACTTCAGGAGAAGGATCCGTCCCCTGTGAGAGAGCGTCTGTGGATGGGGAAGGAGGGCGGGCGCTCAGGTCCACCTTGGCAGCTTGCCTGGGTGGAGAAGCCGAGTGAGACTATTTAGCTGCTCGCCGCCCACGGACCCTCCTCTGGCGGAGAACCGGAGGAGGCGCGGTGCAGGGCAGGGCTGCGAGTGGGCGTCCCGTCCGGCCAGGAGCCGGGGCATTTCAGGAGCAGTTCGCCTAGGGGTTTTCCAGCCTAAGCGGCCAGGGGAGCCGGCAGGCAGCAGCCAAGAGAGGCGCTCAGTTGCTTCTCCACCCTCCCGCCACCTCACTTCTGCCCACACCCACGGGCGCCCCGCCTCCCTCGGCCTTATAGAGAGGGCCGGACACCTCGGCGCGCCTCGGAGCCATAGGCTTCCGGAGCGGATGGCTCGGCTGCCTGCCGGGCCTGAAAGCCCTGGCGCCGTCGTGGCCCGAGTAGAGGAGTGAGGCGGCGTCTGCGCCCCTCGCCATGGAGGGCAGCCCAGCCCCGGTCCGGGTCGCCAACCTCCGCCGCCGTCCGTGCCGCGCCTGTCAGCTCCCGCTGCTGCTCTCAGGGAGCCGTCTCCTCCTCACCTCGAAGCCAAAATGAAGGAGACCCGGGGCGACGGCGGGGGCGCCCCCTTCTGCACCCGCCTCAACCACTCCTACCCCGGCATGTGGGCGCCCGAGCGCTCCGCCGAGGCGAGGGGCAACCTTACGCGCCCCCCAGGGCCCGGCGAAGATTGTGGATCGGTGTCCGTGGCCTTCCCCATCACCATGCTGATCACCGGCTTCGTGGGCAACGCGCTGGCCATGCTGCTCGTGTCGCGGAGCTACCGGCGCCGGGAGAGCAAGCGTAAGAAGTCCTTCCTCCTGTGCATAGGCTGGCTAGCGCTCACAGACCTGGTCGGGCAGCTGCTCACCACCCCCGTGGTCATCGTCGTGTACCTGTCCAAGCAGCGCTGGGAGCAGCTCGACCCGTCGGGGAGGCTCTGCACCTTCTTCGGGCTGACCATGACTGTTTTTGGGCTCTGCTCGCTCTTCATCGCCAGCGCCATGGCCGTCGAGCGGGCGCTGGCCATCCGGGCGCCGCACTGGTACGCGAGCCACATGAAGACGCGCGCCACCCGCGCCGTGCTGTTGGGCGTGTGGCTGGCTGTGCTCGCCTTCGCCCTGTTGCCCGTGCTGGGCGTGGGGCAGTACACCATCCAGTGGCCCGGGACGTGGTGCTTCATCAGCACCGCGCGAGGGGGCAACGGAACTAGCGCCCCGCACAACCGGGGCAATCTTTTTTTCGCTTCCACCTTCGCCTTCCTGGGGCTCTTGGCCCTGGCTGTCACCTTCGCCTGCAACCTGGCTACCATTAAGGCCCTGGTGTCCCGTTGCCGGGCCAAGGCCACGGCATCGCAGTCCAGTGCCCAGTGGGGCCGGATCACGACCGAGACGGCCATCCAGCTCATGGGGATCATGTGCGTGCTGTCGGTCTGCTGGTCGCCGCTACTGGTAAGTAGTTCCAGGGTGTGCAGAGAGAGGTCCGGAGGGGAGTGCGAGCAGGCGGGAAAGGGAGACTTCTCTTAGTGGCAGAAGTGGCAGAATTGGCAAGCAGCACCTGCAGGGGTGTGTTTGCAACCGCGGAGCATTGGGGAGGCCTCTCCTCCCGCGCTGTCTTGATTGGGACTTCACTGTTGAGCTCCTCACTTGCTTGCTGAGCGCCGTTCAAGTGCGAGACATCGCATTCGGCACTGGTTATGCACTCTTGGAGATCGTAGGGCTGCTCACGTTCTAATCGGGGAGGGAAGGCTATCCAGGTATCATTTCAGTGCGTGCACCGCGTAGAGGTGCGTTAGAAGGACGGCGATAGCCTGATCAACTGTAGCCCGATGTTGCGGGATTTCTCCTTATTTCTAATACCTCGCTAAGTCGACTTTCAGCCCGCAGAACCCTACCCGCAACCCCAGACAGGCACAGCCCTCTTGCAGCTTTTGAGCCACCGCGCGCCCCTCAGCGCAGCCGGCGCAAACCTTCCTTCTAGGCTCCCTCTTGACCGGAGGCAGGAGAGTGAAAGATGCATCTCCCCGCAGCAGACAGCCTCAGCCCTTTGGAATACTGCTTGACCCTCTAAGGAAGTGCTGGAACCGACAGTCAGTCAGGGCACCTGACAGCCCAGTAATTCCCTCCGACCAGAGTCTGCTTGTCCTTGTAGCAATCAACAGGCCCGGTCCCGCAAGTCCTGGGTAGGAGGTAGGGGTTTCTCCACTTGCCCCCTCCATACGCCAGCGCAGCGCTGCAAATGTTTTCTCAGGCTCCTTATCTAACACCCGCTCTTACGTGGCATTTTTTAGGTTTCCTTCTGTGGTACTTTTACCTAGAAATTTCTCGGGTATCGCTGTTTACTAATTACTAAAGAACGAATGCTTATTTAGGACCCCGGCAGCCTAGCTTAATAGATGTTGCAGAAAAAGCGACCCGGTCACTGTAGCAATTATAATGGAGTATATGTTGTAGAGTTATGGAAAACCTCTAAAACACATGGACACAGTTTTGAGAATCACGCACATAGAGTTTTAAAAAATATATATTGTGGTGAAATATGCAGAGCATAAAACTTGCTATATTAATCATTTTTAACTGTGTTGTTCAGTGGCATTAAGTACATTGACATTGTTGTGCACCATATATAGTTTTAAATCACTTGTATTTTTAAATAGAAACGTATTTCATTTCCTCTTCCCACCCTCCCCTGCATTTGACAAAGCAGATATTTGAGGATATCTGTGTTTTACTGGTAGGGTACATTTGGAGCACAAGTCTCGCCTCCAAATCAGTGATGTGTATTGACAAGAAGAGTTATGTTGGGACCTAACTGCCCTCAAGTCGCTGTAGGGTCATGGTTCTGCATTCCAGGAGCTAGAACTCAGGCTGATGTCATCACCATGGCTTATCAAAACTAGCACCAATTTTAGACATATTTACTTCTATGGTGGAGGAATGATGTGTGTAGGTGGTCAGAAAAGAGGGAAAAAGACTGCTAAATAATAAACACTTTACTAATGTGTGGTAACTAACTTTAAAGGCAAATTATCTGAATTTTTCACAACTGTCATTTGAGTTACATACCTTTGAGTTTGCTGTATTGCATGATTTATAGCCTAGAAAAATTGCAGTAAAATCATATGAATAAAATGCTTACCCATGCAGTTAATCAGACTTACAATTTTTTGTTTGTTTTGTTTTTAAGTAGAAGAGAAACTATGTAGTGTGTTTTTTATTTGGAAACTTTGATTCAAACACCATGAGTATGGAGGCCCCAGGAAGAATATAGACCAGTCTTGAAAATTGTAACTTAGGATGACCAAACTTACTCTCTTAAGAAAGACTATTTGGAAGCAGTCTTATTTAATTTCAATTAATACCTTCATTTAGATAATATTCATTGATTTGTGGCATCTTATCAGACACTTTATTAATTCATTTCTCATAAAAACATTAAAGTTCACATGTGATCATATCAAAGAGGACAAATTCATCGTTTTAATATGACAGTACTTCAAAAATTTCATAGAAATATATAATTAAAAGATAATACTAATATTTCCATGAAGTTTTTGAAATCTTATATAAGTTCTGTCTTAAGGAAATGCATTCATCTTCTGTTTTTTGTGCACCATTGAAATTCAGTCTCCAAATATCTTCAGAAAGGTCTGTACTACAAAGTTGGACATATTTCAAAGGAAAGAACTGGCAAAACTGCTTTTTTAATAGGTTAGGGAATTATAAGAATGAAAACACTAGAACTTAGTGAATTGAATATTCAGCATGTTAAGTGTTAAAGTGAGAGATCGTTTTTAACACTTTTTTTCTAACTATGGGTAAAAAATATAGAGTTTCTACCATCTTTTGTTGAGTTGGCCATAGGATACTAATCTAATTATCCAAACTCCTTACTTGAAAGGACCGTGAGTATATCTTATCTTGAAAGACTATGACGACTATAATAATAATCAATTGTTACTGCTGGAAAACTTAGTAGAGCAGAGATACCATAATAAGAAAATGTCTCAACTGCTCAAAGTTCCCTCTATGTAAATACTTAAATAGAGGTTTATGTGGGGTGCAAACAAAAGCTCTTTTTCTTTTTCTCAGAAACTTTGCAAAATACAATATGAGATGTGAGAATACAGTAGGAATAATGTCACTGTGATAGATGATTTACAGTTCTTAGTAAGGCACCAAATTACCAATCTGTTGGAATTGGTTACTTGACTCAGCAAAACAATCTGTTTGACTTATTATTATTATTATTATTATTGTCTTAATTTTTATGAACCATGCTCACAAAATCATGCAGTTATTTGACATGATAGCTAAGTTTCTAGCAGCAGAATAACCTTAAGGTGTTGTTCAAAAGAAGCTATGAGAACAATTTGTACTTTTATAACCTGGTACTCCCAAACAAGTCTAATGTGGCTAATACTGTAGCTACCTTAAAAATAGTAAATATAAAGCTAACCATCAACATGGTTAAAAGTGAGGTATGAGGAACAAAGAGTTCCTCATCTTTGACCTTGGAACTGAAGAAAAGCAGCCTCAGAAGCTTTTGCCTTTAATCTTGGACTGGCAAATTCCCCACTCAGTATCCACACATGTAAACAAGGATACTTCAATTCAAGAAGCTATTTCACAATGTAGTTGTGATTTTTTAAATTTAAGAAATCACTGATATATTTGGACAAGTGAAATTTTCCTTCAATATGCCACGCGTGGTAGATATGTGTGATAGATTATTTTACAGAAGTAATGCTGTTTCACAGTATATAAAAGTCATATTATTCAATTGCTAATTTTCTCTGCCTTTAAATTTCTGCCATATTTGGGATGTTGCTTCAGGGAAAATGATTGAGCATGCGAATCTCCAGTATAGGAAAAATGGTCTATAATTTGTTTTTATGAAAGTTGAGGGCCGGCCCGTGGCTCACTCGGGAGAGTGCGGTGCTGATAACACCAAGGCCTCGGGTTCGGATCCCATATAGGGATGGCCGGTTCGCTCACTGGCTGAGCGTGGTGCTGACAACACCAAGCCAAGGGTTAAGATCCCCTTACCGGTCATCTTTTTTTTTTTTTTAAAAAAAAGAAAGTTGAGATTATTCAGAATTCATTACATTTTTGATTGACTACAATACTAGACACTGTAGAAGAGGTATTAAGTAGACTTATTAAAAACAGGTCAAAAAGTTATAATCTGTAACACCAAGCCAAGGGTTAAGATCCCCTTACCGGTCATCTTTTTTTTTTTAAAAAAAAAAAGAAAGTTGAGATTATTCAGAATTCATTACATTTTTGATTGACTACAATACTAGAAACTGTAGAAGAGGTATTAAGTAGACTTATTAAAAACAGGTCAAAAAGTTATAATCTCTTTGGAGAAGCAGAATTTCCACATTTATGGGTGAAACCATTAAAAAATAATGATACAAGGCAGGATGTAATACATGCTTTTGGTTCTCAGAAGAAAGTCCATCTGAACTTGCCAGAGTATGCTTCCTAGATGAGGTGGGATGGCAAATCTTGACCTCATGGCTGAGAGTGAGTGTGACCAGGACCCAGCCCAGTGAAAACAGAGCATACACACTGGGCCAATAGGAATCATGGTTTGAAGATGTTCATCGAACCAGCTTTAGGTAGTCCCTGAATGACATTAGTCCCTGAATGACAGGATGAGAACTTCACTCTTTTGCATGTAAACAGTAGAACCTCTATTTTAGGTTTTTGAATAGGGAAGAAAGTTTCTTGGTGGGACTATAGTGTGTGGATAGACTTGGGCTGGAAAATTAGAACATGACTTACTTTTGCAGGTCGGTTAGGGCCTAACGGTAGAAACAGTGGGAAGAGATGAGTCAGAGAAGGAAAGGTAAGAGAAAACTGCTGGGATTAGAAATGGTCAATTTAAGGAGTTATGGATTCAACAAACAATTATGGAGCATCTACTATGTACTATGCACTGTGGTAAATATTTTCACGTATATTACCTCATTTAACTATGTACTGTAAAATTGCCGCTGTTGCCTACATCATTAAGATGAAGAACTTGAGTATAAAGAATATTAGAACCAGATTTCTAATTCAGGATATTTGACTCTGAGTTTATTTTCATTCAACAAACAATTATGGAGCATCTACTATGTACTATGCACTGTGGTAAATATTTTCACGTACATTACCTCATTTAACTATGTACTGTAAAATTGCCGCTGTTGCCTACATCATTAAGACGAAGAACTTGAGTATAAAGAATATTAGAACCAGATTTCTAATTCAGGATATTTGACTCTGAGTTTATTTTCAGTTGTTGTTGTTGTTGTTTATGTATTTGTTTGTTTAGTTTAGAGGCCGGGAATTCTAGTCCTAATAGCAGCACTGGGCAAGTTATATATTGTCTAAGCTGTAGAGGAAAGAGGTGGGACTAAGAGACATCTAAGGTCATCTTCCACTTATAGTATTCTCAA